TGTCGCGCGGAAAATGGGGAACGTTTGTTGGCTCTTTGTTCCGACCACCGCCTATTCCTCGCCAGTACGAACTTCAGACGCTCCAACTGCCGGTACGCCACTTGGCGTCCGCCCTCTTCCAGTTAGGTACGGACGCAGATCCACCACATCCCTATAAGCTACATATAGCGGGGTTGTATACAAGACTGCCGATCGTACTGGAACACCCCTATCGAATCCGACCACACGTTAGTTTGCGCCAAGCTGTCCATGTGCTTCGGTGGGCGTTTCAAACGCTTGACACATCGACGGTTAGACTATGATCAGTTGTCTGAACCAGCACGTCTTTTAGAACGCGCTAGCTGAAAAGCTAGAATCAACCTCACCCGATAATGTTAACCAGCACTGGTCGCTTATCAAGAATGCTCTGTATTCTGCTGGCTTAGTTAGTTGTGGTCTGACACGTCGTGCCGTGACATCCTGGGTTTTTGCGGAATCTCTACGGCTTCTCAACGCACGCCGATCAATCCCGACCGGCAGCGAGCATAATGAAATACGACGAGCAACGAGTCGTGACCTCAACGTAAGCCTACGCATACACGGCGAGATCTGGTGGACTAAACGCGCGTCAGAGATGGAACGTGCTGCCGCCATGGGAAATTCCGGTAAGCTGTTTCATCTCATCCGGGTCAACGGTAGGAAAGCCTTAGGTGTGAGCGAAACAATCTGCGAAGCTGATAGTTCGCCCATTCACAATCAACAATGACGTCTTGAAGGCTGGGCGGAGCACTTCAAAACACAGTTTAGCTGGCCATCAGCGTCAACTCCTCACACAGCTAACGCGGCACACGTCCCATGGTCTGTATCAACAGACCCACCTTCTGAGGCGGAAATCCGTAGGGAGATTCGAGCCTTGGATCGTCCCAAAGCGCCGGGCTCCGATGGGCTTCTCCCTGCTCTATATAAAGATTTTGGAATAAAGCTTGTTAGAGAACTCCACGTCCTGTTCTCCAAAGTGTGGAACGCTGAGCAAGTCCCCTCCTCGTGGGGGGAATCGATTGTTGTCCCCATCTTCAAAAAGGGCCCGCGCAATGACTGCGCCAATCACAGGGGTATAAGCCTGACCCCTATAGCGTCGAAGCTGTTGGCGTCCGTCATTCTCCACCGATTGTACACCACGAGTGAAGAGCAGACCCGTGAGGAGCAGGCTGGGTTTCGCGCTGGTCGTGGATGCATCGATCAAATCTTCACCCTCCGACAGTTGCTAGAGCACCGTCATGCCCACCAAAGGGCAACGATCATTGCATTCTTAGACATTCGCGCGGCCTTCGACTCTGTCGATAGGACCGCACTATGGAACTGTTTGTTGAGGAATGGAATACCTGAGAAGTATGTGTCGATCCTCAAAGAGTTGTATCATCACACCTCAGGTTGGGTTAGGGCCTAGCGCCAACTTTCGACACCCTTCACCGTCTCCAGTAAAGTTCGACAAGGCTGCCCTGTATCCCCATTCTTTTTCAAATTTTTTATAGAGGATGTTCTACAGAATGCTTTGTCCGGTCTAGCAAACCGTGGAGTCAAACTCCTCCCAGGGAGTAGAGTTCTTGACTTGTAGTATGCCGATGATGCTAGGTGACAACACACAGGCAGTCCAAGAGGCTTTGAACCGCTTGGCGATCGAGGTATCCAGATAAGGTATGTGCTTTGCACCTTCCAAGTGCAAAGTGCTAGTTTAAGACTGGCAGTAGCCTTTGACTGCACTCACCCTCTGTGGTGATCAGCTAGAAGTAGTTGATAACTTTAAGTACTTCGGGAGCTTGATTGCAGCTGGTGGTGGTGTTGAGG